GGTGACAGAAAATTGCAACTTTTGAAAGTGCTGAATAGTCAACAGTTTATTATTGGTGCATTCTTTGCCGGGAAGGACCAATCACACCAACTAAACATTATCAATTCATTGAATCTATTTTTTGTTGTTGCTATTTTAGCACTGTACACAAGTATTTCCGAAAACATAATCACGTATCTAGACACATCCGGTTCAGCCAAGTGATACTGAATGGATCTATCTATACTTCATTTTTAATTTAAACACTCCCTTTCTTCACTTCGTACAATGACAAGACAGCAAATGATCATGCAATTTATGATAAACTTTGTATTATATCCTACTTTCCTATTTCTTACCTCCCCCGTTTCTACCTCTTATTTTTCCCTAATCCTTTCCTTACCCATATCCTTCTTCTGTCCTGTCCTGGTTGCAAATTGATCGACGTAGTGTACTTGAGGTTTTTCGTATTTTTATTTTATTGATTATGGGTAATTCCATTTATATGTACAGGGCGTCGATTGGGCTGATGTTTGTTTATCTACTACTTCAGTAGGAATTTCTTTCGGTAATATTGCTATATTATCGTTACTTGCCATACTATTTGATGTAGCTGTTTTTTCTGCCTTCAAATCATTAGGGAAGGTGTTAAATAATTTATTACTTAATTCTTGTTTTTACAATACAGATTTCCCGTTTCTTTTTATTGTAATCCTCCTCAGTGGAGATATTGAAATGAATCCTGGCCCTAACAGTTTTGATTTAAGCGTACTTCATCTAAACATAAGAAGCATCAGAAGCAAATAATGCTATTATCACAGATTTTGATATATTGTGTTTCACTGAAACTCACCTTGATGAATCACTTAGATATGCCCGGGTTTTCGATACTTTTCCGTAATGATAGAAATTCTCGTGAAGGTGGTGTCATTATATTTTTCGCTGATACTATAAAAGCTACCAGAAAGCCTTACTTTGAACATGTATTTGTTGAATGAAATTGGGCAGAAATATACTGTCACATTAGAAGTATTACGTTAGGTTTATTTTATAGACCGCCTAATTCTTCGAATGATTTTTATCATAATCATGAGTGATCTCTTGAAACTGTTTGTGATTATAGTTCAGAAACAATTCTTCTTGGTGACTTCAATGTTGACTTAATTCGTCCTAATTCTAATCTTGAAACCCTTACTATAACGTATGACCTTCAGAACATTATTTCGGAACCTACTCGTGTTACCGCTACATCAACCACACTGCTAGATCCTATTTTCATTTCCAACAATATTAGATGTCTCAATTATGGTGTGTTTGGGGTAGATGATACGATTAGCGACCACAGAGCAACTTATTTGTCTATGTCTTTTTCTTATAATTGTAAGTGTGCTTTCATTCTGTTATCAAGTATAAATAAAGACTATTATTATTATTATTATTATTATTATTATTATAAGAGGCAAGTTTGGAATTATGGAAGATCTGATTTCGATAAGCTTAACAACTTGCTCAATTGTGTTAATTGGCAAGCAGTCATACTGACTGCTCCGTCATTTGACTCCGCTACCGAAAATTTTACCAGTAAATTTCTTGAATTAGCTCGTTTATGTTTATGTATTCCTAACTATGATGTAACCATCCGTCCGTCTGACAAACCCTGGTTTGATTCAAGTTTACGCAAACATTGCCTGATTCGCGAAAGACTTAGAAAGAAGACCCTTAATACTGGAAGCATTACCGATTGGAAAAAACTATCAGAGAATTAGAAATACCGTAAATATTATGAAAAAGGAAGCTAAAACAAGGTTTTATAGTAATCTTGAGTCTCATATTGATGAATCAAGGAAAGGTAACCCCCGCTATTTTTTGGAAAATACTAAAAACTTTTATGTCGACTCCCTCTTGATTATGTTTAGTCTGGTATTCCAACAATCGCTTATAATCACCAAGAGAAGACTGAAGTACTAAATAATCACTTTTCTGCCATATCTACTACTGATGATTCTGATGCAAATTTACCCGAGTTGTTAAGAAAGTGTGAGAATTCTTTAATTAATGTCAATATCAGTGAGAGAGATGTATTTGTTTTGTCAATTCTTGATAAGCAGTAGATCCACATAAAGTCAGTCATTGTTTACTAAAAGCTACGACAAGAACATTGTCAATTCCTCTATTATTTAATCGTTCCATCCGTGAGTATTCCCTTCCAACTGAAGAAAGAAAGCACATGTTTTGCCATTGTTTTAAAAAGGTGATTCTCACCTCCCTGTAAATCATCGTCCGATTTCCTTGTTAAGTTGTATTTCTAAAACAATGGAAAGGTTTGTCTTCAAATATGTCATTGATTTTGCAAGAGACAATGACATTTTTTTTAAATATCAAACTGGATTCTTGCCGGGTCATTCGACAGTTTATCAGCTGATCAAACTTTATCATAACATTGTATCTTCCATAGACAGAAAGGAATATTCGTACATTGTATTTTGTGACCTCTCCAAGGCGTTTGAAAAAGTATGGCATAAAGGTCTGTTATTCAAACTCCGCCAGTATTGAGGGTAACTTTCTGGTTTTCTAGTTATCTGACTGGCCGTCAACAGTCCGTAATCTATGGCAATAGTACTTTTTCTCTTAAGAATGTATCTGTGAGTGTGCCGCAGGGATCTGTTCTATGTCCTCTATTGCTTTTATTATTTATATTAAAGATATTGTTGATCCTATGAAAACATTTACCAGGCTATTTGCCTCTTCTCTTCTCTACAAGCTTCTTCTGCAGACCTAAATGAAATATAATATAATCTAAACCACGACATTCAGCGCTTACAAGATTGGTCTTATCAATGACTTATGCAATTCAATCTCAGAAGTAGTTCTTTTCTCATCTTCTCCCATTGATGTAAAACCTAATTTTACCTGTAATACTGAACCGCTCCCTTACACGAATTCTCATTGTCACCTTCATTGTCACCTTGGGGTAATTCTCAGTAGTAATTGCAAATGGCAAGATCATGTGCATCAAATTATTAAAACGGCTTCTTCTAAAGTTTCTGGAATATGCATCTTATGTATGGGATGGCTGTTCTGTCGATTTGTCAGATGCCCTGGAGAGGGTGCAGTTAGATGCAGCCAGAGTTGTATCTAGTCTGTCCTCAGTAGCCTTTACTTGGAAACTGGATTGGTACCTTTAAAATCCAAGAGAGGAAAAATAAACTTTATATTTTTTATAAGATACATAATGAATTAGTTCTAGATTATCTTCATAATTTGCTTCCTTTCAGAAGAAATGATCTTCATCACTATCTTAGTAACCCTGATAATTATCAAATGCCACGATTTAGATAAGATATTCTTAAAAAGTCATTTGTTCCTTCTACAATAAATTTACGGATTGGACTTGTTAATTCTGTAAAAGTAAACTCATCAACTTTTATATTCAGCTCCAAGATATCACCTGTACCACGTGTTTTACATCGCTGCAGTGGTCTAAAAATGGTTCATTTCGTATAAGTATTTGTGCCTTACCTGTATGTCGTTGTGAAGATGGTAATGAAGATGTCTACCACTATTTTTTTTTTTTTTTTTTTTTTCTTTTCTGAATATCCAAATCATCGGTTAATATTATTAAATACTCTTTCTAACTTCAATATCCAACCAGTCCCCCATCTCAATACTCTTATTTGGGGGGATCCTGCCCTACCGTTTGAAACCAATATCAACATAATACTTGCCTTTCAACGATTTATCAAAACAACCAAACGGTTTGAAAGAAATTAGTGATGGACAGCTATTTGCAACCAGAACACACACACAGATTAACGAAATTTGTAACTCTGATAAAGGACCTTGGGATCTTTCCATCAATGGAAAGTTTTATCAATCTACAGCATACCAATCTGGAGAAGATAGATGAATATTGAAAAACACTGTATAAGCAAACACCTCTTTGAGTACCGAGCTTCAGACCCCAGTGGTTGGGACCATATCATTTTTATGTATTTGCATACTTTCGAACTATCATTGATGACAATCATTCTGATAATGAACTATATGTATTGCTGAAAAGAAACAAGATATATCCAAAATTGTTATTTTCCTGTAAAAAACTGTATTACAATTTATCTCCTCCATAGAACGAAAACGGAGAACTGACCCGGCCGGGTGTTCATGATTTAGATAAGTCACTTAGGACCTTTACGACAAGAGAACTTGTACATTTCATAGCCACTGCATGACAAACAGAGTTAAGTAAGAGCTGCATTTCAAAGTTTCCTATAAGGTTCTACATATTTTCCAACACACACCTTATGACGTAGAAAATGCTTACTCTTCTGGAACACCTGGTCTTATTCTCTTTGTACTTTTTCAGGAGTCTCCTAGTAGATCTTTATTTTGTTCATATTTCTCCTAGCTTTATGGAATATGAGTTTGAATTATGATTTTGTTACCATGTTGGTATTATCCTGATTTTTTTGTACTGTCCTCTCTCGCTTCACTTCGTACTGGGCGGCAGCCAATTTTTAATTGTCATGGAGCATGTTTTGTGACCTGTTCATAAGCATAGGTATCCATGGCATCAAGAACTCGGTAATTAAGCAGTTCTGTATCAAAATCGCCGTGTTGGAGATTAACATTTTCAGGTACAGGAAGGATAAGAAATTTTGTAACTATTGCAAGGTCTCAATCTCAAATCTCAAATCTGATCTGCTATAATTTTGGTTTATCTATTAATAACTTAATACATTATTTATATTTATCCATTTAAATTCTGCAAATCTCGAGCAAATCTAATTACTTTTATTTCAAGTTTAACATCAAACATGTGTAAGGGTTCTCCCCCTTTACAGAATTTGTAAAAGAATGTATTCATACATCCAGATCTATTTGATAGTTTCATCGAGTCCAACATGAGTAGAAATTGAAATACATACATACATGCATGCATGCATGCATGCATACATACATACATACATACATACATACATACATACATACATATGAATGTTGAATAAGAACATAAAACCATAAAAAGTTCAATAATTTATTGGTATATGAATGTATGTCGTTGCTTTCCATCCATTCCCTTAGGATTCCTTCCTGTAGTAGAAATATTATTGAAATGAACTGCATTCAACGCCCATGCAATTCCTTATTTGAGCAAACTTACGATCTAAAACTGCCTATAAAAGCACATATTCCATATGTTCTCCAGTCCCTTACGCACTGATTAGAGCTTCCATCCTTATGACTTGTACCATACTATAGTACTGGTGTACCATGAATGTCACAACTTCAATTGAAGTATATATATACCCACGTGAAGCGTTTATATGAGGCAGTGGTGTTTTATTTCATGATCCTTTTTTTGAATTTGTCCATATTTAGCTTCAAAGCTGGCCATAACAATGAGAAATTTCTCCAATACCAGTCTCTACAATTGAAACAAAAACAAATCAATACTAGAAGTGAACTCTGGCTGTTGAATAATGTCATATCAAAGAGTGATTCAAAATTTTATTTTTTAAATGAACAAGAGTGAAAAAAAGTAGACGTTTCATCTTCCGTCTGTGATTACACGTGAACATAATGCACATGCTTTTGTTGGCGCAGCCGCCTTTCTCTGTGTGTCATATAAAGAGATCAGAGGTAACAGACACGGGAGGTCGTGATCCATCATATCTAAAACAACGGGAATGTGACATTACAATGTTCTGGAATAAACTATGACGGCGACTTCCTAGCACATTCGGTTGCAAAGAAGTGTCAGTATAAAAGCGTGTGCATGGAATATACAGAGGAACGTTTATGACGACCATTCAAAGAAATCATGCAAACTTTACAGAACATAATGTATACTTGTGTATCAATTATGACAACCCAGCTATCATAACTACTATCATCCTGTGTAAAGGCGTATACCTAGTATTGATGAAGTCTGGAAAAACATGATCATGTGCTCAGAATTACAATTACATATTCGAAATAACAGCATTTCAAAATGAGAAATTAGGAAACCCAGCAAGGGGAGACAACTGCTACAAAATGTACCGTCTTCTTTATTTAGTACAATTAGCCTTCAAGTGAACTGCTTACTGAATATGTATTATTGATATCAAAATCAGAAATCAATATTATCATTAGTACTATATTTTGAGAAATCCTTTAATTTCCATCAATTTTTTTTTTATTTGAGTTGCAGAATACATTCATTTACATCATGTATGTTGTCAACCATACATCAAATCTGATTTCTCTAGTACCTATCCAGCAGAATGTTTCTTTTTTTTTCTTTAGAAAATAAATATCTGACGAATATGTTTAGTATCGCAGCTTTTGCAGTGTATTCCTTGTCTAAAATCCAACCATAATAAATTCAATATTGTCTCTTTTACTTTTTTTTTAACTTTTTATCATGAAGAGTCGTTTTTCATGCTTCAGTAATTAGTTTCTGTTAAACCCTGAGCTAGCTTTATACTAGAACGTGTGAAAAACGCCTATTTGTTCAACCCTGTGTTAACTCTGCAAATATCTTAAGTTTAGTTTTAGCAGTCGTGAAAGAGAGAGCATTTACCTGTTGTATGTCTTGTGCAGTTTGTAATTATTGTCCAAGAACTGCTTGTAGAAGACTGACATTTCTTCTGCAGATAATGTTTCGGAGTCAGACCCTTCTTTCATTTTCTCTTCCAGTCGCTGTCTGACGAATTCCTCCTTCATCTGGTAATTGAATACAATGCATATAATATATAAAATACGTTATTTCTTTCGCTAAATTGACCACATTAAGAGAACAGAGGTCTTAGAATTTGTAACAAAGTAGATGAATATCACCCTCCCTACATAGGGATGTTTCTTATTAGCATTAGGTACGATACATCATACCACTTCTATACAATCAGAATAGAAGAGTCTTCACCTGGTGTCTAACATATTATGATGTCCCTTTGTAGAAGATTGACAGTAAGTGAAGGAACACCAATCGAGTGATAACGTCCAGCTATTGTATACTGACATAGATTACAAGCTTAAAACAATGTAGTCATTTCTAACCATCTGGTCCATTAATTTTCAATAGTGATCTGAGATTTTATTTGTGAACCATTCTAAAGGGGCATTCTTGGCCTGCAGTAAAAATCGCACTATTGGTTATTTATATACAAAATGTGATAGATTTCTTTTACCTGGGTCGTGAATGTCTTGCTGACAATACAGGCATTTATAGGACATTTAGGTATGTTTGTACTCAATGATTTAGCATCGTTCACTTTGTAATTTTTACAAATACATTTCATATAAGAAATAATCGCTTACGAATATTATAACACTTAAATGACTAGTTCCCTCATCGACTATTCCCCGTGACCAAGTGAAGATTACAAAACATCCACGAAACGGTTCGCCTTTATGTCCTGAGAAGAACGTGTAATAGACTATGGACAAAGATGGCAGTCATATTTTAAATGTAACTGCAGGTTAATGCTTAGCGACGTGCTAAGCAAAAGGCAACCGACACAATCCGTGACAGGATTCTAAAAGCAATGTTATATGTAGTCAACGTTTACATCTACACAGAAGCGGCCATGCTTCGTGTGTAAAGCTGCATCGGGAGAAAACTCATAATCGTCTAATATAGTGCAGATCAAGAGCTGTTCATACTGCACAGCAGCATCAACTGCCGAATAATCTGTTGGAGGACGTTAAAACTGCTAATATAATTTGAACACCCAAAGTTCTACTAGATGCACACTTCTTGTGTACAAATAAACTGTCCTTAGTGGCACAGTTTCGCGATAATCATGGAGTAGACCAACCTTGAAATCCGTAGTTGTCGGTAAGCATTTAGTCGTTTGCGTGGTCCGGAGTGGAAGGGGTGGGATGTATGAATATGGTGTCGTATAAACAAATGGGTAGCAATATGTTTTATATTTTAGTGCATTTGTCTTTAGTTTTTGAGACACTTTATAACGCCTTGTTATATACACTGTAAGTATAAGTTTAGGAAATATATTTTCAAACTGAAAAGTTGGCTATTTTTAATTTGAAACGGAACTTCAGCGGAAACCCGATACGAAGTAAAGATTTTCCCGACAAAGCCAATGTTTGTTAGATTAATATAGGATCTGCAATCAGTTTGAAACGAGCATAAGACTCGAAATTAAAAAATATAACGACACTTTAAATAATATAACTCAGAAAAATTCAAATTTGTCACAATTTAAAATGAAAATGCGAAAGACAAAATTAAACGGAGGCAGTTAAAAATGCGTGATTTTCATGACGTCATTGTCCATGTGATGACATCACTATCTGTTTTTTATCAGTGCTAAGAACACTCCAGGATATATTTACTAATGATGTATACAAAAAACTACATGTACATGGACAAATTGTGTTTCTATTTTGAGATATCCACTTTATAAAGTTACAAAATAACCCGCGAGAATTATACCATCAGGGCAAAAAAATAAATACTTTCCACAATGTGCTTTGTCACCGTCCGTCTGATATGTCCCCTCCGGACCAGTTACACAGCTACTATCTTGATAGCGACTTTCTAAGTTTGCCAGAGTTGTGTTTGGTTAGTTGGTAACCAATTCAAATAAGTATGTCTATAATGGTGATCAATATTATAAACTTATTGGCCGCCTCAAAGCCAATAGCAAACCATGGCTGGGTGATAAATCAGTACTCCTGACGCCTGATACAAAACATGCATTGTAAATTACATAAGATTTTATATGTCAATATAAATATATTGTCATTCTACTTAATGATATTAAATCATTATTCGTGCAGAAACAATTAAACAGCCAATATGACAACTATTTACCCTGTATTTGATATTCATAGCGCGAAGAAACTTGCCAAGATGAAGATATCGTACCAAATATTATTTTTCAACGTTTTTGGACGTAAGTAAATGTGACAAAACATGCAAAAACAGCTACATCAAAATCAATGCATTGCGGGGATGTACGAAGAATGACATATGTATTAATTATGAAGCTGCCTATCCCAAGTTGGCTGTGTAGCAACAAAGGTTGTACTTCTGCTAAATAAAAGAAAATATATTTTATGTCATTGTTAAAAACACACAGAAAGATATACTGTATACCTATTAATAAAAAGGCACAATTTTATTTTTTTTTTTTTTTTTTTTCATTTTTATTAATTTTATGAAATCCCATTGATTTCGATTAAAATTGAAGCAAGAGAACAGTAGCCTTTTTATAAGTATACAATACACGCCGTATGTACAATGTACCTCGTAAAATTTCGTGTTGTGTTCTGACCAGAACGCCTGGTTCCAATCTTGCGTTTCTTGTCGCTGGGTTCGATAACTTTGGGCCAAAGAGGAATCTTCCTTACTAATGTGAAATTTTACAGGTCTCAAGTTGGAAACCGGATCAGGTGGTCCGATCCAGTCATTCTTCATGTCTTCCTCTTTTACCAAACACGGACTTTTCTTCGGAGTGTCCTAGACACACACAAAAAATGCGTCAGCGTCACAATATCATATTAGAGTTACCTCCCTTCTATCGTGTAAAGATCAATACAATGTCATTGTTGCAATAAAAATATCGTAGATTTTGTTAAGATCTCACTGAACTTATACAACATGATGTGTGAGGCAACTTTTAATTCATAAGCCTGGGTTAAGCTAGCTATAGAGCTACTTCGGTCAGTATCGTTATTCGGTGGCTACCAGCCTGTCACACCATTATCACGATCCAGTCTGTCAGCCAAGTGACGTGAAAGACCACGTAGATATATATATATATTATTATTACAACAAATACTTACATCGGACTGTATGCTCTCTGACTTTGAGTGTTTGAAGCGACAATACGTCAACCCACGAGCTCTTCGAACTACCCTGATCATGTTATAGCGTTACGTGCACACAGCTACCCACAGGACCGTGATCACAGGAACTTGTGAATTGGCAAGGGAAGTCACTCTAACTAGATAAATGAGGGATTTATTAATCGAGTAGATATCTTAATATTACCATCCAAACTTTAGCGAGTTAAGATGAGAAAGAAAAAAATGTGACTAGTTTCATAAGTCATGCTTATTTTAAATCGATTATTGTTTAATGGATTGTTCAGTTTAATGCAAACAGAAAACACAAGACTCGTCAAGAAACAGCTGAAAACGGACAAACTTTATCTCAGCTCTTCATTCTATCACAGTGTAATCTGTGAGTTTGTCACGTCATTTTATAACCTAAACATGGCGTCACAATATATTTTGTTGATACAGAAAATAATAAAAACATGTTGATAACCTTCAACAAACATTTATATCTATGCTGTTTTACCCTCGGTTACGAAAGAAACAGTTAATATATTAGAAAAAATTAGTATGGTCTTAGACGAACAGAAAGAACACGATTCAATGTAAAATGTCGATTTGATTACATGCATTTTTAAGATATAAAGGATTATGAGAAAGACAGGAATCTGATTTTGAGTAAGTTAAAAAAACACATTTTTTTCAAGACAATGATTAATACATTAGATACGGAAATATGTACGTGCTGATTTGTTCTATTTATAGTGTTTTGGACACCCTGCTTAGCTGACATTTACCTCAGCAATATAAATATCTGCACCTTTTGTTATCAGAGGGCCCTGTATACTGTATCACTCTACCTCATATCATCACTTATACCTGAGAAATATAATGTTCAAGAACTGTGCTTTCTATCACTACCTTGTTAAACGCCTATCGATACCAACGATGAACGCATGGTTGTATTACAGTTCAAACATTTGTAAGTTCTTCATACTGTTCTGTCAACTTGTCAGACGATCCCAGACACCACAGTTTCTAGTGTACACGAAGCTAAGAAAGATATCATGACAGCTGACATTGCAAGACTCCTTCATCTGTGTTTAAACGTCCAGACTGGTGCCGAGAAGGTATTAAATCGACAGGGGTCATCGTTTCTCATTATCCATCGTCCTCGTATTGGCTTGAAACCCACTAATCAACATCAAGTACCGTGAGCACTACACGCAAAATTCTTCAAAAGACGCCTTTCTGCTGATACAATATCTGGTTGGTCGAGCGAGTCGGTGATAACACATTCGTTTTCCACGTATGCGTAGGCGTCCGGGGTTCGATTCCCGAACGGACATGACCATGTATGAGGTCACCTGCCCGGACATGAGGAATTTCACCGTGTGTTCTGGTTTTCTCCCAGAGTAAGGCTCCCTGCACGCTTCCATCCGAGCCAACAGGAGTGAGTAAGTGCATGATGAAATAACTTGTCTCGCAATTGTCGAAAATGTAATAAGTTTATACTTTAAAGACCCGATGCCAACGGTTTTGGAGAACAACTTCCGATGCCAGTTCTTCGTAATCTTAATACTTTGTTCCAAGGCGAACAAAACCTTAAACTGAGTGCTAGCGAAGACAAAGAATACAGCTGTACTGACAGGCTACTTATTCCAGTATGGTGTAGGTATTTTGCTAAGACCATACTAAATTTGCTTCATAACTACGATAATTACTAAATGGGCCAAGTTCTTGTACAATCCATTGGGTCCTAGAGGTTTCTATATCATGAACGGTTCCAAAGTACCTATGATAAAACCAGCTAACGATAACCAACCTACTCATCTACACGGATAGAAAAGTTATTCATCAGAAAGTTTAGTTTTACTGAACCTAATGTCCCGTGGCAAGGATGTTCTCTTTCCTAGAAATGCAGCAAGCATCTCCCTCGTGGCTGGTATTGCCATTAGCAGAGAAGACCATGACAATCAGTCATGGTTTCGTGATATTTTTGTGGTAACTGTGCTCAAACTGGAAATGTATATGTGGTACTGGATTAAAAATTAGTGTAAGCAAAACCATAAAGATGGAAACACAAGCTTCATTTACCACCTTTAGCATTGCTGCATTGGTTTATGTCCTTTGACCGATCTATTCTCTTTACTTTTGGTTCCGGATATTTCAACAGCTGTTCCAATTTTAGATTCAGACTATATATATTACGGAAAATATTTCTTTAATGGTACTAAAGGTCTGTACTTGATAATTGATTGTTTACTTATTATTCAGGCCATTATGGAATTCTATGACGTGAGTTGACATTCAAAAACAAGTACAAATATTCTATATCTATCCGTTTTCTTTTCAGACAAGAGGCGGTAGGACGATGAATCAAGGGCTCAGAGCCGATAATATAATTTAGGACATTGATAACGAGGTACCTCAATGTATTAACTGCAGAGGAAGGATTGTGCCTTCACTTTTTGTATATCGATAAAAAAAAATTGAGAATTGTTAAAAAGTAAATAGTATATTTATAAGTTTTGAACACTATTATGTAATGAGTTTGAATTTCAAGATTTCCTTTTTAGAGAAGATTGAGGTCATGATTAGGAGGAGAACTCCGGCTTTTTAGTTGCGTTTTGTTGTTGATTTTGAAACATACTTATGCTACATATGTCTTGTGGATATTATTTCAACGTCATAGATGATTAAATATGGTTCCAGACACACCTAATACGATCTGTTTTATTGACTGGATTAAAAAGAGGTATCTTTGAATAGAGTCGTGATTTCTTTACTAACTATTTTTAACAGACGAACATCTTTTGAAAACACTTTCCAAAAAATTGAACTTTGAAGCCACGTTATAATTGGGTCTTGATTCCTTTAACAGGACTGTATGGATGAAATATGTTAATAAATGATAAATCGTAATGTTTTCATCAAACGTTATAAAACACTGCTTTTATAAGAAAGCACATAAATTAAAGTATTTAACATATGTATTCAATCCAGATGATAAAAAACTTAAATTACGTTTCGCAGACTTCCGTTAATAAGCATTCATACATTATGGACGAATAAATCATGTATTAATCAAACATATTTAAGATGTATTAACTGACATATTTATTGCTAACCTTGAAAGTGGTTGCTTAAAGTGTCTGGTGGTGTTTTCGTACGACTGAAATACCTTCAAATGTTTAGCATTTCTTTTTCTTGGAACATAAAGCATTTACTTTTAGTAAGTTTTGTTAATACCAGTCTGCGTGATAGGTTTGACACTGTATAATACCAACGTGCAAGTAGGTCTTTGGTAATAAACCCGTGTAAATATATATGGATTAATTCAAAAAATGGTTTGCCGTTTAAGAGGTATCAGCACCTGGACACTTCATTATCATGTAAATTTGGAAGAAAATCAAAGCATTCGATGAATGAAAGATATAATGTTTTGCAAAATACTGCAATTTCCCTCGAATGATGAAAAGCGTAATAACACACCTTGCTCCTGTGTGTATAATAGGACGATACAGGACCACATTACGCGTCACATTCCGATGACAGATACACGGCAGTAATCAACAATGAGGCTATTATTTGCGGAAAAAACATATAAAAAGACAAGTACTTTGTCGACTTTTGTATGCACGTGTTCTAATTATTCTACTTTATCACATCAAAAGTTAAGATGTGATGAAAGAACATGCGTCTTCTATTAGGTTTATCGTTATTTCTTGTTTTTCATGTTATTTGGAAATGTTCTTTTATTGGTGAAATCCACCATGTAACGAATGCTGCACCCTTTTTATGCTTAATAATTTTGTATATATTACAAAGTAAAGGATAAAAGATTAATCAAATGCAAATACTATTTACCATAATACAAAATATATATTCATTGCTTACTTCCGAATGTCAGACAAATAAGGGACATGTTTGTCCCCAGAATACACCTACACGAAGAGGATTGTCTTCCTTAAGCATAATTTAGAATCTTGTGACTTTGTCGTTGGTGTTTGCAGTCTGACCTGTAAACGGACTTCGATACTTAATTTAGGCTATACCCTTAAAGGTAATTTGATTCTCTGGGCAATAGTTACATACTGAAAACCACATATTAACATACGGTGAAACAAAATAGGAACGTCCTTTTCGCTACAAAAATAAATTTTCAGGTAACGACAACTTTATGAAAGCAGGATTATCAATTTTTAATTATTATGCTTTGTGATAAAGTAATGCGTCTCCCTAACATCGCAGTTGTAGGTTTCCACACTCTTCGTTCTCAAATCCCGTGAGCAGTCAAAGATTGCCATGTTTTACTAACTATCTGAGAAGATGATAACGTCAACATTGTTATTGTTCGAAGTTGATTTATGAGCGAGCAACCATGTTAAATCACTAAAGTACATATATACCGTGTGTTTTAGCGCGAGACAGACCGTCATAATACCAACGACCCTTGTCTGACGGTTGTTAATTGTGTTTCCATGGTACAATTAATGTCTCATCCGTTTGATGTTTACAAAAACCCATTTTCATAATGCTCACGGCCTCGTTAATGTTGCTAATTTTATTCATGGGTAATTAGAACATCCAGTTGTAGAGATTTAGTCAAAACTTTTAAAAACACTCCCTGGACAGGAGTGATTTCCCATGGCTTGTGTTAAATATTAATTGTTTGGGGGTCTGAATTAGCTACACAGACTGTCCCAACCTCATCCATTATGCATACATCTTTACTTCACTGAAGCGTGGCACGTTTTTGCAAATTGGTAAAATTTAGGACAAGAACTTGTCGATAAAAAGTACCCCGTCCCACCACGGCAATGAGAGAGTATTTAAGGGTAGGGGACCTGAGTCATACCGCGGGTGTGATCGTTACGTAAGGGCTGGACGGAAGTTCACCACACACACACCACGACTCTACGCTCTGCACGGATTGGATAATTGTATTAATTTCATTGATACCTCTTTGGCTGTGTATATAGAGAAGTCGATAACAATCTGTTCACCTATACATCAGTGCTGTGTCACGTTCCTGACACCACTACAAGGCACCAAAAATACAATAATTACCATATGAAAAACGAGAGGAAACAAGAAAAACACGGATTGTCA